ATCCATTTCACCAACTCCATTTGTGTTTGGATACCAGTGCTACACACCTGCACTGATCTTTTGACTTTCCTCTGCTCGGATCTTTCCAGGTTCATTTATTTTCTGTCCAATAAGCACCTCTTCTAATAAGTAAATTCTCTTAGCTCCTTACTATGTATTTCATTATTCTCATCTTCTTCCTAAATGGGCTGCCCTTTTCTTTCTGCCCACTTGACCAAAATCTCCCTCCTTTCCGTACCCGTCACAGTGGCCTCAAAGATCCTGATGACAAGAATGAAATGGAGAACACTCTCTGCTTGCCAGCCTGGGCTTCCCCTGCCGTGTTCCCTCCTCATAGCTTGTGGACTTTCTATGGAGATCATATTTTCCCTCGGGAGCCATCAGTGGGATTGACAGGGCTGCGGGCAGAGGAGAGCAGAGCCTCTCACACTGCCTGCCGGATGCGCTGCAACCGCAGGCTTTCACTCCCGAAGGGTCACACCAGTAGAGAGAAGAGTTCTCATCCTCATCCCCATCCTTACAACCCGGCTGACCCCGTCCTCTTCTCCTCCTCAGGCAGATTCACCGACTGCCACAACAGAGTCCGAGGCGGGATTTGGCCCCAAATACAAGACCTCACCGATGTGTCATACGAGTTAGCATGAGTGTCTGCGTCTGCTGCAGAAGGGCTAAGAGCTAGAATAGCAAGGGTATTTCAGGTCAGGCCTGAGGCGAATTAGCAGACAAGTTGTGAAGCTTACACAACATGTGGCCACATTATGTGTGGCTCCAGTCAGCGCTAATAGCCTGTCATTGAGCTCCATGTTTAAACAATTTGAGCAAACACCAAACACAGAAGATGGGAGGAGGGAAAAAAAAGCCTTCGAGGAATAAGAAAGATCAGCCTACTTAGTATACTTGGCAAGCAAATATTGCAGTGGTGAGGACAGCAGAGTACCTACTAGGTAGTCTGAGACATGACCCAGTTCCTACTATGCAAAAGTAATGTAATAGGAAGCCAAAAATATGTAAGTTGTCCAATTCTGAAATTCACTCAGCCAGCAATTTTTAGAACTACATAGGAAACTGATTGTTGGTTTAGTCTGTGTCTGATCATGTGAATTATCCAAGGGGGGGCGGAAAAAAAAAAAATGGTTTTGGTTTAGCAGCAAGGAAACCAAAAAAGGGGGGAACAGGAGGAAAAAGAAAAACAAGCCTTAGTAACAACAAAGAGTAAAATTCAACCACATTCATATAAATAACATTGATACTAGTGCTGGGAAGTAAATATAAAAACATTTTAAAATAGGAGAACTTAGAAACCATACTGCATTGTTTAGTATGAAAATAATAGCCTTTCGAGCCAGTACTATTAGAGAACGTATTTAACCCAGTGCAGAATTGGCTATGAAACCGTCCACTCTACCATGGGAATGCTTAGCTCAGTATCTGGTAGGTTGCCAGCCATTTAAAATGTTTTTGTGTTGGTTTAATGATTGTTCCCATGAGCACTGATGGTAAGGGTTGACATTAATTAAAATACTAAGTCATCAGAGCTTGCATTGTGGAGAGAGAGAGAATGGGCTGGATCCAATTGTCTTAAGGTTTCTTTGGCCTTCCACATTTTTCTCTTAGATGCATCATACATGCCAAGTATCCTCTTAGCCGAGGTATAACAATGTAAACAGACGGTCTCTGAAAATATAAAGTAATCTTTTTAGGTTTTCCACACACTTTCATTTAACTGATTAGAGGACACTCATTAAAATCAGCTAATCATGTAATGTAGCTGTGTTCTGAATGCTAAACAAAATGCGTAAATAAAAGAGGATTTTAAAACGCTGTCTGCCTCTCTTAATTTATTTCTACTGTATACTCAGTGGCACACAATACAGTAGGAATTCTGGGCCCTATCCTCATTAACCTCAGAACTCATTATCTCATATAAAAACAGGCCCTTTCCATAGAGAGTGTTGGAAAAGGTATGAGAAAGCATACTAAAGATGTGTTTGGGCACACACTCTTGAAACATGAAAGATTTTTCTCAGAACTGTGAAATTAATACAGAATAGCACAAATTCCTAAGACCCACTGCTAAAATGATCTTTGCATAATTTTGATAGAATAGCTATCCTTACACATTTCTTTCATTTTATTAAATGACTACTCAAGATCCAAATCTTCAAAGGCACACAAATAGGAATAAGTCAATACCTGGAGTCCTCAAAAGGTCACGTAGAGAACAAGTAACGAAGCTGAGTTTTTCTAGTCCTCCCATCTATTCAGCAAGCCTAAATTCCCATTCTACTGTCAGGGGCTTAATACCGCAGAGAGTGAGTGCAAGAAGGAAAAGTTTATGCTACACATAACATGATCGATAGCCTAAGAATGAAGACTTCTGGCTTGAACAGCACAGAGCAATGAGGAGCGGCAAGCTGAGCCTACATAAATGCAATGGGACATTTTCACAGTAGGCAATAAACAACATAAAGCAGACTGCTGGTCCTGAGGCAAAAGGTAGAGCAACCCTTTCTATTTCGAAACGCGCTTGCTCCTTTGGCTCTGAAGTCAGGCAATACCGCGACTTTGGGTCACCTCCCCATGTCAAGGGAAAACCAAAACCTAAATGAGGTGCTTGAAGCCAGTTAATATCCCAGCTCGTTTGCTAGCCCCTGGCTCGCATCCCTTCCCTGTGGCACCGGGAGCTGCATAAGAGAAGTCCTCACCTCAGACTCTCTGCAGTGCAACCACCAAAGTGTTTTGCAGCTACAGCCATCACTCAGCAAAGGCTCCTTTATCTTGTTTGTGAACACAGACCCAGGCCTTCTCTGTACCATCCTGAAGTCAAGCAGGGGGCAGGGATCTAGATCATCAGAGGCAGAAGATTTCTGTGACAACAAATCCTGGAAGACAGGAATGCTCTTTGGCTTTTTGGTGTGAATGTTCTCTGAATAGTCTTTTTATATAAAAAACTACCAGGTCTTCGAGCACTTCAGGAGCTTGTCCATGCAACATGGAAGAGCGAGAGCAGCCAAGAGAGACGTCCTTGTCCACGTCCATGAGGGCAGGAGGCCTGATGTCCTCCTGGGGTTTGTCTTCAGTGGAGCCATCTATAAACACAAGCTTAAAAGGCTCTGGGTGGTTTTAAATTCATTTTTTGTTTTAAAGTGTTTTCTTTTTTGTTCGGCTGTTTTTGGTTTTTTTTGTTTTTTGTTTGGAGGGGGCAGGGGTGGCTGGTTGTTTTCAAAGCACAGGCGGCCTTGAAGGCAATCAGGTAGTGCCCAGGCAGCCCCTCTGCCCCCTCGCCAAGGGCACCATGCAGCTGGTCTGGCTGAGAGCGGGGCCTCGGCCTTGCCCGGCCGTGGCAGTGCATCAGTAAGGCAGGCCCCGCTGCGCTCCCGTGCCCCATCCGAGCGCCGCGGGGAGCCGGGGTGTCGCGCAAGGCGCCCCGGCCCGGAGGGCGCAGGGAGCCCCAGAGGCGGCACAGGCGCCCAGGCCGCGCTCGTCCAGCTCCCCTGGGCCTGCCGTGCCGGTCACAGAGGCGAAGAGTGGGGGCCTGGCGGGCGGGGGGGGACGGGACACCCCGCCGTACCCCCCGGCAGCGGGGTGCGCTTTGTGGCGGGCAGGCGGTCGGAAGCAGCGGGGTAATCCGCGGAGCCAGGCCGCAGCGAGTGGGTGGTCCGGGCGGCCGGAGGCTTGGGCTCTCCCCGCGGCCCCTGCGCCGGGCCCGGCCCGCTCCCGCTCCCGCAGCTGGGCCGGAGGCGGCCCGCAGACCGCTCTCGGCACATTTCTTCATTTCTCACTTGAGTGCTCTTCTTTAGTTCCCTTTCAACTGCCCACTTTATATCGGCTTCATTACACCACCGCGCCATTTGTAATGTAAATCGGGAAACTCAGGGAAGTTTTTCTTTTGGCCTTGTCTGCGGAAGAATACCGAGAGGTATTCAAAACGTATTAACACAAATCAATGGCACCAATAAAAGCAAAATCTCCTTAGCAACATAATCTTGATTGCAAAAGGAGAACTGAGAGCATTTAGCAGAACAGTGGCCCACATGGAATACGCATTTGTCTAGAAGAATGCAGCACAAAGCCTAAAAGAGAGATGCTGAAAAAATCCAAAATTAACTCACACTGAACAGTTACTCTTTTTTTCAAAAGTACACAATTGGCTACATTAAATCTATCGTGCGCTTTTCTGCTCAGCAACATTGTATCATACCGCTTTGCAAGCCCAAATTACAACACCCGGAATGCTTCACAGCGCCTCGAAGGAGCCCCCCTCCTCCCCACGCACACTTTTTTATACGTGTGCATACAGAACACACACACACAGATATATATTATATACATTATACACACACATTATAAAGAGGCTGTTAAGATTTCCATACTAGAGTAACCACAGAGCTGTAAAATGTTCCACGCAAAGAAAAGCAGCTGGATGATGAGAACCGAGACCGTCCTCGCAGCGCCGCAGAGCACAGGATTAGTTTTCGTTCATAAGGTTCTGGTTAACAGCATTTCGTACTGGACTATCTTAAAAATACATGAATTACATAGACAGGAATGATTCCTTTCTGAATAAGTGATGTCTGCCTTAACTAGACGGCCAGTGTATCTTGTTTGAGAGAGCGAGTGTCTTAAAAAGTGTACAAACAGCTTCAACATTACTATTCAACCATAATGGTAATACATATAATAAATCCTACTACTATTAGGGCTTTAAAAGCCTAAAGAACTCCAAATGTGGACTTAATGAAAAGCCAGTTTGAAGCACTGAAGGCAGGCAATGTCTCTAACTCTAATCCTGGAGTGATCTAAATTACCCAAAACATTTTATTTCTCCCCCCCCAGTTTACACTAGAAATATCAACTGGAAATTAAGAGAGACCACTGTAAGGTCAGGCAGAAGTTTCTGTGTTTTTTCTTCCTTTTTCTTTCTCTCTCTACTGCCCCCTCTGCCCCCCCCCCCCCCCCCCAACATATTGGGTAGATGAAAAACGGTAAGGCTTAGTAGATAGGTTAACAATTATTTTATTAGTTTATAATACATACAACTTAAGAAATGTTTTAAAAAAAATTATATTGGAGTCCATTTCAATTCTGGGTCAGGTCAGGAAAAAACAATGCTGATGTATTAAATAATATCCTATAATTCAACAATAGATTAACTTCAGTAATTTAGCAGACATGGTTAAATACTCTTAAATATGCATATATACAATTGTGCACCCTTAAAAAAGTCCTTTTCTTCCTATCTTCTCCTCCCAAAGCCGTGCGCCCTGTGAACACAGTACTGGCCTCTAATCTTTCAGTCTCTCACCCAGACTTCAAATATTTGAAGAGGAATGTTACAATAGTGGAAGTCGCAGCAACCCTATCTTTCTAAACTCTTTATGAGAGGAGATGCCCAACAGGCAAAATTACCATCAAGCCTCCCTATAAATAGCAGCTTCCTTAATATCCAGTTCTAGGTTAAATTATTGCTTATGCATTTTCTGCCTGAAATGGATTTTTAACATAGTCTAAAATACTGGGGTTTAAGTTCTTGAAAGATAACAACCTTTCAGTGACATATTTACCACTACTGCTTTGTACGCTTAACAGGTTTTTCCTAAGCACATGCAATCCAATGCAATTCTCTGCAAATTCTTTTAAAGCAACATGAATTAGACAGGACTAATTTAGCACACAACATGTAGGCACTGTTTTGTAGCTTACTGTTCTCTTCAAAATTTATGTTTGGAATTAGTTTTGTATTTTGATTGCTGTACTCAGCCTTTTACTTAAACAAGAATCCAACTTACACTTTTCAAATCAGGAACTACTCTGCATTCCTTTTCACCTCACTGAACCAAATTGACAATATTAACAAGTAAGTATACTGCACATCCTAGCATTTCGATCCTTCTGTGCTTGCAACAGGCTGAAATAAACATTTAGAGTGGATGAGCAAAACATTTATATTGGTACAATTAAATCAGTTTAAACACAGAGCCACTAAAAATATCAGTTATATTGTATCAAGATATCTGACTTTTTGAAAAATTTTTAAACATTATTTTAAAAATGGAGTCACAAACCTAAAACACTGTAACAGAAAAAAATCTTCAGGTAACTACCAAGTCTAGTTTTCAACATGAGGCAAAGCAACTTTCAATGAGGAGTTATAAAAGGTGGGGGAAGGAAGTTTGTTCCAATAAACATAAAATCCACTACCTCCCCTCCAAAAGCGAGCATTTGTCAATGGTTCCCTTTTCCATAAAAGCTACAACTACATACAGAAGTCTCTCTTACTTACCTGAACTTAAGTTACCCTAACTGGATCCTACTCCTGAGCCTCAGATATACTGTCACATGACAGGAGCTGTCTGGACAAGTCAAGAATTTTCTTTGGAAACAATTAGCCATGCATTACAGGCTCCAGCTTAGGAAAAGACTGTTCTGTACTCACTGAGCAGTTCTCATCAGCGATTCGGTTTTGGTCTGGATATTTTAAACTAAGAGATGCTGAGATTAGAAGGAAGCTTACCTCAAAATCTGCCTAATAGCAGAATTATCTATGAATTAGGGCATAACCAAAATAAATTAACAACATACTTGTTAAAATAAAATAAAATAATACCAATTAAGACAGTCTACATAACTACTGAAATGGATTGCTAGCCTTAACTTTCATTATTCAATACTATTTCATTTACTTCAAAACTATTTTCCATCACACTCCGAGAATTCCAAAAATCTTTTGGATGTTGTTTCTCCTAATTCCTATGTTTCATCTTTTGCCTCATTAAATCTTTCCTCATGGTCTGTTGTATTCTGAGTGGTCAAGCATTTATGAAACCTTTTTCAAGAAAATAAATCTCAATGAAATATTAATGAGCTAAATGAAGCGGAAGAATTTTTTTAAAAGGACATCTATGAAAACAGTAACATGTAGTTTAGGAAAGATGTATTACCCAGGTGCCATGTGGTGGAGATACATATACCAGCACAAATGTCAACATATGAATCGTCATGAAAGGACTAATTTTTCTTTAATTTTCAAAAACAGTCTCTAATTCACTCCATGCTGACTGAAACATCAGTGTGCAAAAAGATGAAGTTCAAAAATTAATGAACTGAAACCTACTGTTACCAACAAAACAACCCAAATGGATATCTAACTAATGAAGAATAAATGCATGATGTTTTCAGCAGTGAAATTTGTTCCTCCTAGAGTACTTCTCCCCTTGAAATTTTTCCACTTCCTTAAGAACAATACTATTTTTTCATTATATCAGTAGCCCCTGATTCACCCAGCCTACAGAGAGAACTTTAGAAAGAATAAACACAGGAATTAAGAAGGTAGCACCATTAGAAAGAATCACTCTTGCCAAATCAGCAAAACAACTTCATTTATCCTTATCTGACATACTTTGACATTCAGCAGACTAATAATACAGGGTAAAGGGAGTTCTTATAGCTGTATATTGATAACATTCATAATGGTCATGCATATTACAATCAGAAGTTTTCTAGGGTGTTGTTTGCAAAGTAAGCCTTCATGCAGATAAGCAATTCAGCTCATTAACTCCATTTTGATATTTCCTATTAGTCCCTGAGAAGTTAATATTTCTACCTACAATATGGCTATTAAAGGCATTATAACGATCATACACTTAGCTGTTTGTGATGGAAATGCCATGTGGCTTTACGGAGAAGCAGCACAGAAATTACAGCAAATTAGCAGTGATGAATAATACAGATCTTATTTCAAAAATGCTTTCTTTTCATAAGCAAAGTTGCTGAAGAGCAACATAAATGATTTTAGTCACCGACACAAAACTAGCCAGTGCCACTTCCCCCTAATAATTTGCTACTGTGAATCCAAGACATTTGGGGCTCTGAGACCTCTCTAATTGAGCATTTCCTTTACATAAAATCGTCTGGATTTTCACCTAATGTAGGGTCATCATGTTCCTTCTTTTAATTACTCAACAGCAGTGCTGGGAGAACTTAAAAGAACGAGGGATTTTCTTTGCTTAACAAGTCTTTTGCCTCTTCAATTAAAGTGATCTCTTTAAATTGTTCAGAATTCAAATGGGGGTTTTTGGTGGGCAATTTGCATTATTGCCAGCTGCTCAAAAACCATAAGCTAGGGCTCCCAAAACAAGGGGAACAATTTAAAATTAAGACTTTGGGGTGGGGGGTGGAGGGAAGGCAATAAAGACAAGTTCTTTTTCTTTGTCTTCTGGCTTCTGAGCAGTTACAGATTGCATTTTAAAGCTCTTGCTGAATCTTCAGGGCTAAGAAAAAAAAAAATGAAAACTGACTTTTAAGTAAGTGTATCTCAGAGATATGCTTATACTCAGAGAGCATTACATGTAAACACCATGGTCTTGAGATTTACAAAAAGGTATCATTTAACAAATTGATTTAGAGATTATAATTTACCTCTTAAGTACTGTAAAAAGTTTTTACAATCTACTCCATTTGGGTTTGAGTATCATGGCAAACTTGAGGTTTGCATACGCAGTTTATTAAAATGCCTCTTACTAAGCTATTACAAAAACCTTCACTGACTTCATGTAACCTATCTCCACAAACATTTTAATTTCTGGTGAAGTTTGCCAATCCCAGTATAAACTCCCAATCATAGCTATTAAACAACAGATGAGCTCTACAGAATTCTTCACGCAGGGTCAGACAGAAAGCTTTTCTCACTCAGGACTTATTTCTACCTATCTTTAAAACATTAAAAAATTATTTTTATTATATTACTGTAAAAAATAAACTTTTATTGGACAGCTAAGGGCTACTATATCTAAAAATAATAATTTGCTTTCACAGGGATTCATTGATGCTGTTACCATTAGCTTTTCAGGCTAAAGGTGAAATAGACATAATCAGCATCGTTTGTTAAATGATGAATATCAAGTGGGTACCTAACTTTTCCTACTCAAGGAAATTGGAAATAGCTAAGATTATTTGTAGGAATTGCTGAGTTGCAAGAAGCTAAACAAGTTGGTACAATTTATTGTACTAATATCAGCAATATTTATTTTAGCAAAGACTCTGTGTCCTGGAAGTTCTACTATAGCTTCCACCCTGCTTAAACTATTGCAGCTTCACTCTTTGCCAGTTGTACAGAAAAAGGTAATATACGTCTTCTCACTAGCACACAAAATAAATAGATCTAGTATTTTAGAAACATCAAAGCAAAATCCTGATGATTGCTGCAGACATTAAACAGTTGATTAAAGTTCCTGCCATGTTCCATTTCTATCATTGTAATTAATGAATTGAAAGGGATTGTATGAAAATATTTTATAAGCATTCCTACTAGGAGAGTGTACTACCTCATCAAGAGAGTAACACTTTTCAGCAAAACTTATCTATATAGATATGCAGTTTCTCAAGTTTCCTGGTTGTACTTTAAGTCGGAGACATTGTTTTAATAAAATATCAGAAATGCTTTAAGAGGCAACTAGTCTGGCCTCCTTAATGGGAGAGTTAGCTTTTTATTTGTGCAGAGCTCTAGTCTGGACGCCTACATTAGAATTCTTAAGAGAGAAAGTCATATTTGAAATACAAAATGCCTGCTAACCAAGTAGCTGACAGCAGATGCACCTAAAATTAGACAAGACCCTAACCAGCACTACTGCTTATGTGGAAGCTTTACTAACAAGATACTCTTTGTAAACCTGTAAGCCACACTATTCACTCCTCTGGTTTCAGCACACATCATGCTCAAACTGGCTTTACTGTAGGTAGGTTTGGGTGCTGCTGGCAAGGTAGTTGTGGTGTCACAAAATGCAGCAGTTTGGGTAGTAAACTACGGCAAATAGCTCACACTGAATGTGGTGCTGCTATGAACACATCACAAGCCACATCCAACCTATCGTCTCCCTAATGAACTACCAGTGCATCCACGACACAAACCTACCTAGACACAGTCAACTGAGAATTTTGATAACAAGATCTAAGCCTTGCATGATTCAATATTCATTTTATTGAAAACTGACACTTGAAGAAATCAACATATATTTCTGGTCATCAGTATTTATCACCAGTTATAATTTCTTGTTCAATTCCAACCTCTCCACTGCACCACCACCCTCCACAACCTCATCTGCCATCAGTGCTAGGCTGCTGGCCTCCCTCACAGGCTGAAACTGGTCTGAGATTGTAACTAATACTTCTGGGTGAGAGGAGGAGTGCTGCTAGACCCAGATTTGTACTAAAGTGGCTGAAATTAATTTTAAAGAAATTATCACCAATTACTTTGGAGAGAAACCACTGTGGGACCCAGAAGACTGAGGCAGCATAAAACTGGTATTGTTAATTAAAAATCATATTCCATCAAGGTAAAGAAACACACTTGTAGGCTTGTATGAAAAGCATAGCTGAGCTATTTTCAAAGTAAACAGCAGGAATCCACAGACAAAAGCTGAGCAAAGGATGAGTTCTGGGAACAGATACAGAAGGCTTAAATTTAAGAAAACTTTAAACTTTCTAGACCACTCCCACTATGAACAATTTAGGAATATAATACTCACTAGAGAATATTTTACAGAGAATAAATATTTTGAAGACATAGAAAAATAGTTCATGGCATCAAGGTACCTGTAATATATTACCTTGAAATAAAACTTGTATTTAAAAGATTAAAAAGAGAAGATTATTCTTGTAGTGGTATCAACTTTTCATTCATACAAATATTAAGCAGAGTATATCTGGTTTTTCATATATTCACATTATTGCTTGCTACCACAACTGTACAAGGAACATATTCTTAGCTTACATTAATGTTCATGTACAGTAATTTTAGATACCTAAAGTAAATTTTAAAATATGATTGAGTTGCAATTAAAAAAAACAAAAACAAAAACAAAAAAAACAACAAAAAAAAACAACCTATGTGTGAAGATATGTACAAATAAGATATAAGTAAAAGAAATGAAACACAACTGGCCTGACCCATGCATACATCATATATCCAGTTAAAAAAAAGTCTTATACTTGTGCAGAAAATAAGCTTTGTAAACCAAATGAGCAAAAGCAAGGGTGCAATAAATAATTATCTAAAACATTTAAACTTACACTGCTGCCCAGTGTACCCTGATTAGATTACTTTTAATACACGGCATCTGCATTTGCATCTGGAACTGTACTGTTCAAAATTTCTTCAATAACTTCTTTTTTTCTGCTTATGTGGCTTTAAAAAAACAAAAAAAAGAAAAACCACTCTGAAAGGTCCTCTTGGGTGACAAATTTTAGTAAAACAAGTCCTTCTGCGCCCCTGTGTACAGGATTTCAAACTGTAAGAATAAAGCTGATACATGGCATTAGCCTGAATTAAAACAGCTACATTATAAACTGCCATACTAATACATTTTTGTCACCTTGAGTTCTACTAACCAGATGCATGCAATTCTCTCAGCAATTCTTTTAGTCTGAGTAAAATAATTCTGGTTTGTTGCTTTTTTTTTTTCCTTTAACCTTTAAATTATAACCTTTTCAGACCCAGCTGACAGGACTTCTTCATGAAAAGCACAAAGATTTCTACTAATGCAATGACATTTGGGTTCCAGAAAGAACTTTAACTCCTTCTCTTATTGGAAGAGGCTAGCCAGTACCCCAATAAAAATATTTACAATTGACTAGTCACTGACAAAAGTTTAGGAAGATCTTAGAAGGTACTTCAGCATGGAAATGAACGATTAAAATGACTTACACAATGTACAGTCAATCAGTTGTGTCATTTGGGGATAAAAAAATACCTACTCACTTGTATACCATTTTCAGCTGTGTATTTATAGTAATATATGTATGTACACACACGCCCGCACACATATAAAAGACTCTTTGAAAATCAAGATACATTAATAAACAGAAGTAGTAAAAGTAACAATAACTTAAGTAGCAGTTAACATTTGTGTGAAATTACTTTGCAAAGTTTGACCAAATGCACTTAGAACATGCTCTTATTAGAAAGAAAAAAAAAAAAAAAAACCACAGAAAAAAAAACAAAACAAAACAAAAAAACCCAACCAAACAAAAAAGAATGAAAACACCACAAGATTCAGTAGAACCAATACTATGTCACCACCAGGAGAGCACCAAGCAAGGCACCATTGGAAAGACAACATACTTGAATAAGTCTCTATAAATAAATCAAATGTTAATCTGGTCGAAAAATCGGTGTCTTTGGTAAAAATTCTATAAGGATGACCTGTATGAAAAGAAAACAAATATATATTAAATGAAAGATGGCAGCAATCCTACTATCTATCACAATGACAATTCACTTTTTTTTTTTTTATTTTTAAAGTACATCAAGTTGTGATGATGATCAAAGATCACAGTGCTTTTCTTAAGTAGGAAACCGTTACAAGAGTCATGTCTGATATAATTGTTTGGGAGTAGAAGACCAAAACTTTTAAGGAACTAAATTCAATTGGAAAAGTTTACCTACCAATACCCAACACATCTAAACAAACTGAAATAAGCTACTATATAGCTATTCCTTACCATAATTAATTTACTTTATTAGGAAAAAATTATGAAAGAAATAGACATATTCATTTAAAAACAGAAGGCACAATGTATGCAAAGTTAATTTTCAATTACATATGCAATTCCTTTTACTTTGAAATTGTTTCCATTTAATATAGGATGTTAAATCATGTTTATATATCAGAACTTGTATAGAAATGTTTATCAACCTTTGCAAAGTTCCCATATCTAACAAATCTGCAAGCAGTCAACAAGAAACTTGGCTAATGTTTTTCCGTGATTATTCTTATGGTCCCGATTCAAACTTAAATTATGTGTTTCTGAGCTACGTACACAGGGTAGGGTACGCTCCAGAATACAGTCCAAATATTGATCCTACTTTAAATAGAAAGCTTAAAGAAAACGTTCACTTGTGCGTTTTCTTTACAGTTATAATACAGAAGCATGATTGTATTCATAAACAAATAAATGCATCTGGTAGCATAACAGGATTCTATTTAAGGGGAGCTTGCTTTGCTTAGAAGTTAAAAAATAATTTCTAAATGCTTTTGATTGCAAAGGAGAACACAACTTGTCTGCTTAGAGAGTAAACACTTCTATCTCTGACAGAATACTGAACATCAGAAAAGAAGTCTGATTGTATTTGTAAGGCAAACAGTTTAAATAATTAATACAAAAACAGGTGTGTAAGTTTAGAGATACTCAGAACTGACTTATTTTCAGAAGTGATGCAAACTGCTCAAAATCCATTGATCACTGACATGAGTCAACCACCGGATGCATCAGAGATACTGGGGCTTCTAATATACAGGCAAGGTTTCAAAAAAGGAGCACGTAGTAAAGCTGAAACACTCTATTTATGCCAAAGGTGTAAGACTATCTTGTCTTTATTTAATCTACGACAGCGGATTTAGAATCTCAGGCTGTCAAAGCACCAAATTTTGGGTACAAGAGTCTAGTTTAAATTGCCTGTTTTGAAAAAAAATTGAGGGTGTTTATTATTTAAATCGTGAACACAACATTAAGGGCAGTTTTTAAAAGATGAGCAAATCAGTTCACTGAAAATAAGAAACTGGTACAGAGAAGTTTTGTAAAAAAATTTTCATTAAATATATCCAGAGATATTACATTAGATATTTCACATATTGAAAATAAAATCTTAGACCTTTATCCTGTAAAACTATATGCCCATGCTTACATTATATTAATGTAAACAGGTCAACTGATTTTAAATTTTATTTAATAGAATGAATGTTCATCTGTAAATGTTGCTGGGCCACAGTATTTACAAACTAGCATTTTATGTGTTTTTTTCAACTGAATTTGCAAAACACTGGATGTGACAACATTTCAGTAAAGCTCAAATCTACTTTCTGAAATTTGCTTTATTCCACTTTCAGTCACACCTCATACACCTAAACCAAAAAAATCTGTAGAATAGATGTTACAAAAAGTCTCTTTATTCAGTGATCTGAATAAAGCAATTCTGTAAAAAACACATTTTAAAGGTCTTATGTTTCAGGCTAGAAATAAGATCTAATGTAGAAACGGGAAAAAGGAGAAGGCTAAAAGAAGAACATTCTTTTAATATAATTTCCAACTCTTTAATCGCTTTCAAAATTTTTATATGCGTGATAGCTTTGTTGTTTCAAAGAACAAAATATCATGTAATGAAAGATCACAGGTAAGTTAGAACTCAGAGTAGATACTTCTCAAAGGTTGATCTTTATTTTTAAAAAGTTAACCCTTCCTAACACCTACTTCCTAGAGCATTAAAAAAAATTAGGCAAATTCTAACGTTTCTTACATTTTAGCAGCTTAATTTCAACCTATTCTCTGTACCTCCAAGATATTTTGCAAATGGAGATAAGAACAGCACCGAAAAAGAGCAAGAGTGTTGCAAGCTGAACAAACTGAAATCCCACACTGGACATCATTCACTTTAAACTACATGTAACTTCTCACTGTATATTTCCAAGAAGGGATTATTGAGTCTCAGTCAAAGACTGAAGTAAGTTAAAACTCCAGAGACTGACTTAAAAATATTTTAGTAACATCGATTGGAGATAAAGATACTTTCAGAACAGTTGAGGTAAGGGGCAGTTAAAATCTAAAAAGGCTAAAGGTTTCTTAAGCTCCAACAGCTTAGTTGAAAGGTCTTCTTCCATACTTTTAGACTTGATTAGCATTATATAAAACAGCCATATCTGACTTGCTGCGTAACCAAAGTTGTGGTTATTCTTTATACAGCATCTAAAATTTCACACTCCATCAGCACATGTTCAAGCTATTTTATCTTGGCAATTAATTTATTATTTTTCAGAACACAGTGAAGCCTTGTTTTCAAGTCATTCATAACTTTATAAATCAGTCCTGCACATGAAACCATGCATCTGTGAACCGTAGAAAATCCTTGCACTCAGGCGATTAAGCTCCTGACACCTTTACTGATTAATAATCATGAAAAGAATAAGATCAGAAGCAAAATAAATGATCATTTAATAGAGAAACTCACAAAACAGCCCTTTAACTTACATATTCCATCATGTTATTCGTTTCACATTTCCTTTTGCTTAGTCGCCAATGCAAGCACAGCTAGACAAGGAGGAAAGAAAAAGAAGAAAAATGAGCTGTATTTCATTGCAGCACACAGACTAGCCCATTTGTCCACCTTTCATATTTTTCGTTCAACAAAAGCATCTGTTTCCATACTGTGCAATTCAAACTCCAACAGTACGAAGCTGCTCCCTGCGGCACTCACCTTGTGGTATAACCTATTGTTTTCCCATTCTAATAACTTCTCAATCGATCTTCGTGTCTGGAAGACAAATGAGAAAGAATTTTACTCTTGACTGGTTTTAGAAAAACTTTGTTTTGCAGCTGCTTTTGTGTGAAAAGGAGAGAGGTACAGGACAGTGACTGAGTACAGGGTGGTCTGTAGTACTACTAAAACTTCTCTGGTATTAAATAGTAAGTGGAACAGAAACAACTTTTTGTGACATCCAGATAACTACCTTCAACCATTTTGGAACAAAAAGTGTTCATATATATGTTTTCTGGTTCTTACAGCAGTTATAACTTCAAAACTATAGAAAATTTGAAGTGATCTAAGTATAAAAGCAGGAACACTGCTCCCCCAGTATCAGCAGTCTAAATGCACTGCTTCTAAGAAGGTCAGCATCTAAACTGACAAACGCTGCAAACTATTTTGCAACGCTGTAAGTCAAGTACAGATACACAATACTCTAAACAAAAGAGAAATTTTTGTTAACTTTTATATCTACATTTTAGAGACTGAAAACCAAATGCAGCAAGTTACAGTAAATTGCCCAAATGAGTATTACTAAATCTGTGATTTGTATAAAAAGCAAACCCAATATTTAGGGTTCTAAAGTAAAGTTTTATTGCCTATGTTGTCCACACTTGACACTTCAGATGGAGAATCCTGAAAGCTGTTCTGCACAGCTTTATAAGATTATGCATGCTAGTATGAAAGGACATTCTGTGCTGTAAAGTTTCACAGCATTTTGAATATAATTATTCAGTTATATTTACATTTGAGAAATACATTCTGACGTTTATGGTCATTTGCCTGCCAGAATATATACTGCTTAGCTCTAAATGGGATTTGCTACTGACTATGAATAAAAAGAGGATAATTCATGGTGCCAGGTGTTAAGATGAGACCAACAGAGCTGCAGGTGCAAAAGGACGGAGCAGTGACAAGGATCAAATACAACTTAGTGCAGCTGCAGCTTCCTTACAAGGCAGAGAGGGGTGAGGGGAAGGGATGAGAAGGCATCTTGCTGTTATTACTACAAACTACAAGTACTGTAAATGAACCTTAACAAAGGAAACTAAATGCTGTCATGAGAAACAAGAATGTCTGAGTAAGATAAAAATCAGACAAATTATTCATTTCCCACCAAACATTAACACCTTGGTTTTCAAACATCAGTTTCTCTCTAGTTTAATACCGAAGTGGTTGTGGGGAAACACGTCTAAGCATGTACTGTGGTCACATGATTAAAAATTAGATCATTGCTATCTAGGAGCAATCATTACACTGAATTTTTATTATGTTTTATTTTAAAAAGCACAAGTCAAGGAATTATCAGAAGGTGGATGTGCCAGTGACTAATTTATCACATCAACTGGGAATTGAGTATTTTTGGGGTTATTGTTATTATTATGTTTTTAAAGACAGTGCCCTTTAACAATAATCAGTAGACCTCACTTGTTTCTTTGTAAAGATAGCCTTTTAGAGTCTGCTCTCCTTTTAAATGAAAATAGGGCAGCAGTTATGGTCACACTTTTGTTAATTTAGTTGCCAGTCAGCTCCAAATCAAAAGAAAATAAGGCTGCAGAGTGTAATTAACATTCAGTTCAGTCGTTTTGTCCCTTGTCTAGCCCCCAAGCTTTGTTAAAATTGCCATCTGAATGCTGAAGGCTGTAGGGAAATCGATTTGATTCTAATCGCACCATGAAAAGAACATGATCTAACTGCTTTCAGCCCTCCGTAAATCTGTACTAGGTCTTTAGCACAATGCAACTTCCAATTTAAAAAGCACTGAATGTCTCGTCAATGACTTTGTGAAGAAAAAAGAACAAGGAGCAGACATAAAAATTCCAATAGTTGTTTAAGCATTAAAGTTCATTTGCATCACAGCAAACCTGAAAAGGGCTGACCTCTCAAACCGCCTCTCAGGTCTATGAAGTTGTAGCCTTGACAAGCTCACATTGACAGAGCTCATTGACTCTGAAAGGCTACTCTATCAATGGTGAAAAATGGCAATAGGTTCTACTCTGAGCAGGCATCTGCCTGCCCACCCGCTGCTAAACCAATGGCAAAACTGATTCAAAACCTGAATCTACCTTGTAATCTTCCTTTCCAGGATCTTTTAATAATAGATTAAGATCACTATACCATTTAATTTCATTGTTTGCCCAAAAGAGTGTGCAAAACATCCAAGCTTTTCAAATTCCAATAAAATTACACATATATTACAATACATACACCTAAATAAGAAATTGATAGGTAGTTATGGACTATTAATTGGTTTATTTAAATAAGAAGCCAGTTTAAAGTTATTTGATTAGCGTGAGATAAAAACACAAACATATGCAGCCTCAAGACCACAATTATTTATATTCCCAGAGCCTTAAATACAATCCTTCCTGTAGTACAATTTGGGATAGTCATAGCTCCCGAATCATGTCATATTATCAATACAGAAGTGTTAACGAAAATTAGACTGTAAAATATTTCTGCAAACCTCAGAGCTTGGAATAAAAAGAAATGCATTAAACAGCATCACACAATTCACTATAGTAAGTTTTCTTCCTACTTGACAGGTGAAAAAAAGCACTTGCACGTGCAGCTTAATTAATCACTGCTCTTGACATCTCAATGATTTACAGTGAGGAGCAGGTGAGGATATACAAAACCAGAAAGGAACACTTGATTTGAGTGTAGCATTTCCAGCACACTAGGATGACAAGCTTATATATTCTATCAATGGTGTACAGAAAAACCCATACAGCAAATTATTTGTTAGCCGCAACAAAAGCACAAATTAAGTGGAAGCGAGACTTGCTTATTAGGAAGATTTAATACTATACAGCTTTTTAAAATTTTTTTCTTAAAAAAAACAATCCAATATTTGAGCAAAGCTAAAACTGCAACTTAAGCACACTTTTTAGCATACCAATTATAAGAAAGTATGCTTTGTAACATACTCCATGAAAAAAGCAGATAGGCTTTAATGTTATCCACAGAATTCTGTGAAATAGACCTCTTTAGTCAATGATCTAGATGCGATGTTTAACGAAACATTCCTGTAACATAACTGATTCTTTAAAGATATTCATGTTTGGCAGTGTCTTTTAAAAAATCAGACTACCAAAAGAACCCAACTCAGAGCACACTTTCACCAATGCTTATTGCTCCCAGTTAAGTAAAATAAGGTTTTGCCCTTAAACATAGAAGAAAGAAAAAATATAGGAAGACCATGTATTCACTTTTAATGCAGAAACAAGGCAGTACCGAATACAAATAGTGTGTTACCTGTATTACCAACTGCAAGACCTTTCTGTTACATCTTTGCAGTGCGTAGTGAAGTTAGCTTACAATTCCAGATGCAGTTATGATGTGGACTGAGAGGCTGTGCAGCCACAGGGCCCCCTCTTGCAGTGCATGACGTGGAACAAGCACACTACACTAAACCGTACTAGTGAATGGGCCAAAGCCCCTTCAACTCCTGCTGTAAATCAGTGAATGACTGGTACAATATTAAACAAAAGGATCTTACATGACTCCCAAAACGGTGCTAATTTGAGTACCTCCCTTTGTCTTCATTTAAGTGGGGAAACAACATGGACAGTAACAACAAGATCCTCCACTACCAATTTTATTCATAGTTGTATGGGAACAACAGAAGAATATCCCACTACTTGCATTTGATCTTTGACTTCTCATCTGAAAACTTCCAAACATATGTAAATATAGTACAATATTAGTCCAATAAACAGTATGGAGATTTCCAAATCCCTTCACGTAAAACTTTACCACAATCAAGTATTAATAATTATACTCAAATTTCAAAATACAAAGAAGCCAATTTAAGCAGATTTTTATTGATTTTCATATGGCCAGAGTGTGTATTATACCCCATCGAAGAGAGGCAAAGGATCCTATCAGAGGTGTGAACCATACCATCTTCACTCACTCAAAGAGAAAAATGATGGAAGCAGGAATTTCTGTTCATTCTCCAAAGATATAGCTGACTACAAAACTTATACCCAAGTAATTTAGTTACCAGCACAAACAATGAAATATAAAGTTAAAAGATAACTGAGTCACACAACTGTACGCTCACTTTCAACACGCCAGAACCATATTGGTGCCAGGAAAATGTCAAAGCTGTACTCAGAATCCACATAACTGAATTACATATATCTTTATCTGTGCTGAGAAAGTCCCCACCTTGAACACTGCATGACAAATAAATCCTTTAGAAACTGTAAATTGGTAAGATTCCCATCTTGCTGAGGAATTCTCTATTTGTGAAGGGCAAAGACAACAGAGGTAAAACCTGAGTTGATTTCAGGTCCTGACATCCTGGAATACCTACTTCAGCACGCAGTTTGAAAAGGTGTCCAGACACACAGGTGTATTTGGATCATCTTCCCTATTAGTAGCTAGAGTATTTCTTACTAGAGACTATTGTAAGGGTCCTCATCCCAGAAGTTACTGCAGCATCCGTCTTACCTTCCAGATGATTCTGGGCAGAAAGTGAGCCCAGACCAAAGCACAGACCAAAGCTTCTGATCAGGCAAAGAGAAATAAAATCAGCAGAATTCCGCAGCAGAAGAACTGACAACATCAAGTTGGTCTCAGGAAACTTCCTGTTCTAAAAGATAGCTCTGAGGATATTGTCCCATATCCTCACATGATCCATAAACTGACCTAATTTTTATGGGTCTCAAGCCTGGGTTGGTACATCACAGAGAGATTCATTTAAAGCTTAATGAATCAACTACCTTCTGTAAAGGTTTCTTCCACCACACTGTCTGCTGATATAAAGAAGAGAGCAGCGTTATTTGACATCACTGCATGTAACAATTTTTAATATGGAAGCCAAAGACAATTCCTCAGACACTCTGGTTACCTTGATTCTCAAACTCTTAGACTGCTTAAGAAAGCACTAAAGCCATGAAATATGTGGAGAATGGAGAAAGTGTACAGAACATACACTCTGTGTACATTATCCACAAGTACAATGGAGAATATCTTATAGTATTATCATCACCGTATTA